CCCGCCCCTCCCCGCCCCACCCACCGCCGGAGCATAACAATGGCGAACGTTTCCTCTCTCTTAGCGACGCACAGCTATTTCATTTGCGGTGCTTTTCATGCAAGGCGGGCGGGGCGGGGGCGGCGGGGATCTCATTCGATGCTCTGCTCCTGCTCGGCCCCGCGCCGTCCGTACCCCCCGAGGGGGCCCGCTCGCCTGCTCTCGGCCGCCGCGGCGTGGTTGTGGTTCCCGTGCAAACTGGATGATCCGCTGCAGTGCCTCGTCCACATGACCGCGTTGGCGAGCCCCCCAGTCCGCTAGTGTGTTCTCCTCCGGTCGGACCCGGCCCGGCCGCGCACACATTGTCCGTGCATCGCATCTCGTGATGATTGCAGCGAGAAGCACAAAAGAGCTCGGGGCGCTCATTAGGCTGAGGCCGGACGGGCCTATCGCAGCCAGAGCGCCGCCCGGGCCGGCCGGACCGGCTGCACCACTGCAGGTGGACTGCAGCGCGAAGCACAGAGCGCGAGAAGCGTGCCGGACTGTTGCCTGTTCCAGTCCCCAGTGGCCGCGCATATACCACACTGTTAAAAAATCTGTAGGAATTCATACAGATCGTCCTGTACTTCCATACTATGTTCAAAATCTGTTCGACTGGTATTTGGGGGATAAAGTCTTCACATTGCTTGAAAAGAACTTTCTTTCAGAATGGGTACAGTGCAAACTACAGGATTACACTGTTTTCAAAATGACCAGTCCAATCTATAGTTCTTTACTGTTGTAATTTTTAACAGTGAACTATCCTGGAGGATGGTCGGAGAGCTCCCCGGATTCGACTTCCGGGGCCAATCTCGGAGCAAAGTAATAACATTTTGGGGAGTGTATCCGATATCAGCATCGGAAGTCAAACAATCCGGGGATCTCTTCGACTTCCTGCTTCGCGGTATGAATGAGTGAATGAGAAATTGTCGTGTTGGGGAGGGGTGGGGGGCGCTCGGCACCGCCCAACCTCGGTGGGAATACCGTACCGCATTGCACGCGTGCGGGCGGGTTGACTATCCACTGGATGTCCCGTCAGCCCCTGTTGCAGGGGGTATACTGTGATGGCAGGGCCACGACAAAGCAGTAAGCGGGTTTGCCTACTCGCTCAACCCGCAAGGCACCATGGCCCCTGGGGTATGCAAACCTGCAACAGGGCTGTGTTATTTTCATTTGGTTGAATTAGTTTATATGGTCAACATTAAAGGGAGTAGGAAGTCTAGCAACCACGGTGTACTCCGTGCTAGTAACAAATGTACAGTGAGGGCTCGCTATAGTTCCGCCCCGCATAGTGGGCGCTCGCTAAGGTCCGGGTCCGCCTCAGGTTCAGAATTGGAGAGGGTGAGTGGGGTTGAGAGGCGGAACTATAGCGAGCGCCAACCGTATGTGGGGCGAAACTGTAATTTTTGCTTTATGAACGAGTTGGTTTTATCTTAACCTAGGACAAGAACATGATAGACACAAAGAAACACGATAGGCACAAGGTGCAATAGAATGTTTAGGTTGGCAGACACCCTGTTTCAATTGTTCTTTTGAAGACATATTGATAGAATAAGCAGTTTTGTACAGTTTTAGTTCGTCTCATAACTTGGCAGCTTGTACTAATGACTCATTGTATTTTTCCATTTGGAGTTTTAGGATTTGCAGCATTAGTCTGCTCGACCGGGAAGATCTTATATTGCTGGAGGGAGTAAACTGAATTGCTGGAACAGGTATGACGGTGTTCTAGTGGTGGTTAAGTCGAGGTTTTTGAATTTAGTGTGGGACCTTTGAGTTCCCCTAAAACGGCACAGCAAATTAACAAGGCCAGATTCCAAGACGAATATTTGTATTTTAGGTCATAAAACGCCTGTATCTAGGCACAACGTACTACGTACTTTTGCCTTGGATGTAGGCAAAAAGAATAGCTTTCACTCATCACACATATCCAAAGAGTTGCCAAGGGTGGGTGTACACAAGATCGCCAGAGTTGAGCCCCCCTTGTGAAGTATTTGAGAGCATTATGGAAAAGTCCACACCACCCCGCCAGTTTCTCAAAACTGACGTCTTCTCCCCGCTACACATGCCCTTAAGTTTCACTACCTATGCGGGGGCGCCGTGACTCTCGATGGGATGACTGCGAGCGAGAGAGGGTGACGGTCTTAGCACCTATGAGGCCGCACGGATCACGGATGCTCGCCACCTTTGTTTCTCCAGTGTAGTGGTGCACGGCCGGCCGAGGAGGCGGGCGAGCTGCCTGCCTGCCAGGAGGGACGCTCTGGTGCTCATTTCGTGACAGCCATGAGAATTTCACAACAGCTGGTGACGAGACAGAGACAGAGAGAGAGAGTTGGGGGGAAGGGGAGAGAGAACGCGAGCAGAGCAGTCGCCAACACAAAAGGGAAACGGAACGAGCGCCGTGTTTTTAATCTATTCTCCATGGTCATATTTGTCATGCCACCACGAACAGCAAAGTCGGCTTGCGATGATCAACTTGATGAATTCCATCCAGCGTCCCAAACTCATCACTGTGCTCCCATTCTCATCCTCCCCCTCCTCCCCTCACCCCAGAGAGGGCCAGGCCCGC